CCTACAAAAGCATAGCCTGTATTCTCAGAGTGGATGTGCATTAGATCTTAATTTGCACGCCTGCCTCCCTTTTTGTTACAAAAAGTGCTAGAGAGTATTTTTCTGTCACAGAAAAGTATGTAGCTGTTTTTTTATTTATTATTTTCTAGCACAGTTGAAAGTTTGCTACTTGTCTGTTAGTGGTGGTGCGGTTTTGCAGAGAGGAGCAGCCCTGGGGAGGCGAGCTGTGCTCCAGCCCAGTTGTTCATCTTGAGAAACATGCGACTAGTGCTCGCAGTAAATTGGTTGTAGCTTGCTCTTACCTTTGCCGTGCCAATCCTCCACGTGCTTTTGTGTCTTAAAATGCTTCGTATTCTACGTATGAGCAAGATGCAGGGAGTGATCCAGCGGACAGTATTTCCATGTTGCCCTGTGATCCCATAGATATTGTATCCGGTTCAGTGGACCTGCCTACCCTGTGGTCGGAGGCTTTTTGTTATGCATGCATCCTAATTGTTCTTTCTGTTGGCATTGTACATAGACTGAAGGGGCTGTGCACCAATGCAAATAGCCTTTCTAATACCTTATGCATTTGCATTATAATGGCTGCATAAATATTGCAGCACGTTTCAGTGTGCTCTCTCGCTGCTTTGACTGCTAGGCTTTAAAATAGGTTCTTTCTGTAGTACAGATCTTGTTCATGGTTGGTAATGCTTTGGAGAGGGGTTCTGAAGCGCATCTTTATTAAATAGTGAAGCCTGTTTGCGATGAGGTGCAATTTTAACTTATCCATGTTCTAGTCTCCCACTCCTTTCAGCCCACAGGTTGATACAGGCGCTTGGAAGAAAAAAAACTTAAAGCTTGAGCAGTTTTTCACCAACTATTTCTAAACTCACTATATTTGGGGTTGCAAAACATGTTTGCTTGAGACTTGGTTTTGCATTTATTTCCAGAAATCCTATAGATGTCTGTGGGAATATTTTATGCATAAGGAATGTGAAATATTGTGCCACCACTGTTTTCGTGCTGAAACATTCGGTGACTTATGACTAACTTTACCAGAAGCACCCCGAATTTCCTTTGAAAGTGTCGATACAGTGATGTGACTGAAAGCAGACACTCTGTTTGGGAACTGGTGGTAGATTGCCATCATCTATCTGTCAGAAGTTTGCTTTATAAAGTTGTTAAACAGAACAGCGATTAGTATCACTTACTTGACTCTTAGTGATTAGTAGATGCATAGAGACTTCTCTCCTGTGACTGGCAGTGTGGTAACCTGTGTAATTGTAGCACATGAACTGCCCAGTCTTCTGTATAATAAGACTTCTCGCTGTTGGGTTTTTTTTTTTTTATATTGAAAGTTAGGTTATAATCTGTTTTGTAACACACAGCATTAATCGTGTTTATTGATAATTGTCCTGGGAGGAAATACTCATGTTTGTGTCAAAATGCTTAAAGCAAAAGAATAGTATTTTTTACTGTTTTAACTATTGCATAGATTTTATTTTTTTTAAACAAAAGAAAGCAATTCAGTATGTCATTGTAACTTAAAGCTTCTATAGCACAGCAGTGAAGGTCCTAGTAAATTTGTAGATAACTGGCTAAAGCTATACATACAGTGCAGGTGCTGAGTAAGGTGCTTTGTGCAGTGGAAGGGTTCTGGTTCTTGGCTTCAGTCTTACTTTTCCTTCATGTTATACCTAATCCAGCAAAATACTGGAGTTTATTCCATCCTCATTTAAAAAATAAAATAAAATCCTATAATCTCTCTCAGTGCTCCCCCCTACCCCCCGTCAGCTGTTCAAGGCAAGGAAATATTTGAGTAATCCTTATTCTTTTCATTAGATGAAGTGTTGTATTTCTGAAATTGTGATGGTAGAGTTTTGTGCTTTTTTATATTCCCCTTCCCCCCTCCTCCTTGAGTCAGCCACTGCAGAAAAGCAGAACTGTGTGTTTCTTTTAATTCTAAGGGATAACCGCGCAGAGAAGAGTCGTCTTCAGATTTCCGTAAATGCCAAGTCCTGTTTAGAAGCATTTAGTTACATGGAGTCACTATGTGTAGCAGAGAGAAAATGACTTCACTAGCAAACTATATGGCTCCTGGAGGCATCAGGTGGCTTAATATGTAAACAAAAGTCCACAGCAGTCAAAAATAGATCTTTATAAAAAGAAATGGTGCAAAAAAAGTGACCTCCTAAACAAGGAAGTGAAGGGCTACCAGAGAATCCATCTATGTAGTCCTGCAAAATGCTGATCATAGCAGAATACGAAGGACTTATATCATGAAAACCCATTTTGCTATTGCTTCTGACATAGCACTTAAGAGTACATGACTTTTAAAAATGTTTCTTGTAGAGAAATGATTATACAATCAAAGGGTTTAAAGCCAAGAAAAATCCTATAAAGTATGCATAATTTGGAGTCATTTGCACAATTTTCTTATTGATGGGATGGATGTGTTAAATGAAGCCTCAGTTCAAATGTTCTTGCTAACGTACTAGATCTGTGACAATTACTTTTCTAATAGATTTTAAAAACTAATGGCTATTGTACAGTACTTGCAAAACCTAAAATATTTCTTATTAAAGAGAATTTTATAACAGTGGTAGTTACATGAGCTATATTGAAATTAAGATTCTAGGTGATTTCTTTTCATGAAAAGGGAAGTATATGTTGGTAAATAACATGGACTAAGATACCTGGGGACTTGTCTTTGTGCAGGAAATTTTGTTGTGGTAAGTCCCTCTAACTCTTTTGAACTCTTGGACAGTGTGCAGACAATGGCAGATTTCAGGTTATCATACTTGTTTTTCATGGTGGGCTGCATATTTGCTTTTTGGAATATTCAAACAATTGTTTGGCAGCTTTCTTGATAGCATATTGTGTGTGGCAGGCCTAGGTAGGAAGGAAACAAAAGTTTAAATATTATAGCTATGAGTTGTAATTCACATAATAAATACCACAACCTGATTTTTTTTTTTTTTTTCCCCACGACTTCATCCATAAATTTATTTTCTGTGTTTTAGGTTGTCATTAGGCATGTTTTTACAGTAGTAATTTCTCTTCTCTCTTCCCCATAAGAGGTCTTCAGAGAAATGTTGGTAGTTATTTCTTGCACTTAAACTGTATACGGTCTTGTCTTTTAAAACTGGCTCTTTGCAGTCCAGCTCTTTTGAGAAGCCATAAGTCATACCCAAACAGATATCGAGGTTTCAGTTACACGCTCTCACTGTAGTATCATGTTTTCTTCTTCTTCTAAACCGAGATGCTGTTTATTGAACCAATTAGCTGTTGGGTGCAAGCCAGAACTTTCTCCTGAAATCAGAATTAATGAATAAACAAATTAGACTGGAAAGATTTCTATTCTCAACGGGCAGTGGCAGTTAATGTGTGACAAGGACACGGTTTGTATCCTCTAGCCTCGGTTCCCGTGTGTGTCTGTCTATACTCGGTCCTGCCGAAATCAGCAGGGTAAACTTTTGAGTATGGATCACACGTTCGCATCGTACATTTGATGGTATGTCTGTCTTGGAATGTTTCTGAAACGGTTCCAGCTCTTCTGTAGCCAGCAGATGGGATGCATACGCCTTCATTAACAAGCAGTTAACTCCACTGGTATGACTGAATTTTCATCACGCTCCGGGTCTCTGACTTGGCTCTTTCTGTGTTCCAGCTCCCACTGTTTGTTCTGCTCTCTCTAAGAAGAAATCGGCAGTAGCATTATATGCTCCTGCCCTCCTGTGGTAACTAAAACCTAAACATTTTTCTCAAAATCAGGTTGTGTAAAAATAAAAGAGAAAGAGAGGAGAACAAGGAACTAGTTTTTCTCTTCTGGAGCAGCTGCTCGCATCTCTCAAGATGTACATTTGCTTTTGGTGAAGTGTTCTGCTTCAAAAGCCCTGAGAAAATCAAAGTAATTTCTAAACTTGCTGTTACAGTATCAGAAAGACCTTGTAGCCTTTTATAGCTTTGAATTAACCTTCTGGCCTTTTTACGTGGTATGCGCTATCCCTTTTGCATGAGAGTAGAGAAGCTAAGGCACACAAATTACAGGGAAGGTTTTTTAACAGCAGCAACGGCAATGGGATTGCTCTGCCTTCCCTGCTGTGAGTCAGGGGGAGCTGAAACCCAGGTCCAGCACGTGCCTTGGAGAGCCCGCCTGGCCAGGTGACCCGTGCCAAGCTCACCAGGAGTAAGGAGCAGAGGTGGATCCCAACCCTGAACTCCTCACTCCTTCCAGACAAGTGGAAGGTGGAGCGAGACAAACGGGTGTGAAGTGGTTACTGCTGTGAAATTTTGACGGGTAATGAAAGCCATGCAGAGTAGCGTGTTAGATCTTTGAACGTGTGGTATGATAACAAGTAGTCATGTTGCCTGAAAGGATCCTGAAGTGGCTGTAGTCTCTATGTAACCTCTCGTTTCTTTAATGATCCTCTGTATTAATAATACTAGAAGGAGGCCGCTGTCATCTTAGTTTCAAAGTTAATGTGTATATAAACTAGGGACGTAAAACTTCAGTATCTTTAGGCAAATGTTTATGCGTTATTCTCAACATGTAAAATCTTGGACCGAGAAATCTGTGTTTGTCACAGCTTTCACTCCTGTGACTTCCAGTGTCTACTGAAACTACTTAAACCTGCTTCATGCTACCAGGAACACTTTCATACTTTGCACACCGTTGATTCTTGGGCCAGCTTGTTGGCTGTCTTTCAAAAATATTTAAGATAAACTGATTAGTTGTATATCATGGCAATCTAAAAGTATGCTCCAGAGCTGCATCTACTGATTTTTCCCATTGTTTTGTACTATTATGATATCATTTTTGGTCTTTCTTCATCTATGAAGCCTCTTAATTAACAGTGAAAATACACTACACAGAGTTCCAATAATAAAAAAAAAATGCTCCAGAATAAGTTTCTGTAATCTTTGCTGTAAATTTCTTATTTTGTGACATGGAAACAAGTTAACGCAAGGTAAAATGGTGTGTAGAGCATGAAAGCTGCTCATTGGAACTGCTTGTCTGTATTCCCTTATCCCAGGGTAACGTGAGTTTTACTGCCAAGTAACTGGTATGCTGGAGCGTTTGACTGTTGAGTTGTTCTGTTTGTGCATCTATCTAGAGATATGAAGTTTTCAAACAAAAGAAGAGGGAGGAGCACGGAAGGTTTGTATGTGAGTGCTACTTTCAAAATGCTGCTGACTGTTATCTAATGCTTTTTCTAAATAGGAATCTAATAATGGCTTGAACTTTTCTCTTGCACTTTTTTAATGACAAAGCCATGACTTGTTTGTCATGTTTGGAGATGATGAGCAAAGGATGATGAGCTGCGGAAAGAGTTCTGCATGGGTTGTGTGTGGCTGTAAAAGCTCACGGACTGAATTTCAGGTTCTGTTGAAGCACAGAGTATAAAATGACTGCTTCTGCTCAGACCCTTGTCTCCCTGTCAGGAGTAAGTTGTCTTTCCTCTCTAAGCAACTTTCTCAAGCAGTGGAGGGCGAGATGTGTGACAGCCTTGGCTATCTATTTTAATTATGATATTTATGTAAATTCTGTGTTGTGTAACTTGGTTTATGAACTGAAGGAGAGACTACAGAACTAGTTAACAAGTTTACATTTGTGGGGTTGTACTTTGGTGGCTCTTCCACATGTGCTGCAGGTGTGTGTATATATTCATCCGGTACAAATGCATGTTGTTTTTCAGTTACCAAAAGTAAATGGGCAGAATTTGATTAATAGAATAGAATTAATGCTGGAAATGTTAATTTTTGCCCAGTTTTGGACCACTTTTCATGTGGCTGCTCTAATATGAGGTTTACATTGATCCACTATAGAGATGATGGTTCCAGAACCCCAACACTTAGGATTCTTTTGGATTCTGATTTTCCTTGCTGCCAAAACTCTGTAATTACCAGCTAGCACGTACTGTAAGTTGTGTTATCAGTCAGATGGGGAGGACTGGTTGTATGGTCCTTTTTCTTTGTCTAATGTGACCATGGGCACCTTACATCTGAGAGTACTGTTTGGTTTTGATTATTATTAATATGTAGCTTTTAGCACTGCCTAGCGCTTGCAGCCTAATGTAAATAAAAGATCCTATCTTGAAAAGCAGTGACAAAGTGAAATGAGTTTTTCTGATAGAAAGCTTAAACATGTGATCACAGAACAGACTAATTAGCCAGTGCAAGGAATTTGGTTCTTTTAAGTCAAGCGTTTCATTTGCCTGTAAGGTTCACTTTTCAGTATGAGGTGTTCTGATATGCTGACACCATTGTAATTGTACCATTATAAGTGAGATACAGATATCTGTATCTATATCTATATACTAAAAAAAAAAAAAGGTGTGGGGGGATTACTTTGCACTGTTTGTAAAGTTCACCAAATTCACTTGTGGATCACGCCCAGCTTTATTTTGGTACTTCTGATTGCATGTAGTGGTTCTTGATGCAATGTGGCTTTTATGCAAGTCTTTTATATTTGAAATGATATATAGAAATAATAAATAACAAATTGAGAGCTTCTGATGATAATATAGGTGAGGAAGAAATTTTAACTGGAACAGATGGGGTTTTTTCAGCTCAGTTTAGATTTGCTGTTATATCTTGCTTTTATTTTTTATTTATTTGAAATAAGACTTCAAGAGTTAAGCATGCTCATTGTAACGGTCTTGTTCTCTAGAAATAGCTGGTTTTTTTTTTCCCCTGTGTTTAGGGAAATTATTTTCTTTGGGCTTGATGTATCCCTTAAGCTAAGCAGTATTCTGTTGATTCAGTGTTTGAAAAACTATTTAAAAGGAAAATCCAGGAGAGGCTGGGTTGATGTTGGGGTATAGCTGTAGCTTCTACTTCTTATTAAACTGTTTGTGTTACTTCTAAGACATTTTAGTTGCCAGGTTCTTAATAGTTTAAATTTCAGTGAAAGCACAGATTTTAACGGCTCAAAAAACCCACTTAACCAACTATGGTTGTATTTTCTTGCAGTAGTCTCAAGCTTTAATGTTTTTCTTGAGATACCTATGGTGAACAGCTGGTCTTTCTGCCATGGTTTGTTTAGTGGAAAGATTTCAGGTGTCCTCTGTTGGCTTCATGCTTGTTTTTTGAGTGTAAGGGCATGTGCAAGTTTTTGAATCTTCCTGTGAAAGATGAAAGAAAAACACTGTGTCATTTAACTGAAAGCGTAAAATTTTACATTCTTGTTTTACACTACACTAAATAATGATTTTGTTGAAAAATAATCTAATTTCACTTCTGATTGAGTTGGTGGTGGTTTGTTGTGGGTTTTTTTGGTTTTTTGTTTGTTTGGGTTTGGGTTTTTTTGAGAGTTGCTCTCTAGTTCTGTGCCTGTGTTTGGGAACTGTTTATTGGTATATGAATACAGATCCCCAAAATAGTGATCAAATGCAATTACTATTTGCAATTATTTCTGATCCTAGAAGGGGAACCCAAATAGGCGCAGCCTGTAGGGATCTTCCTGTGCCCTAGGGTCTGTAACGGTTCCAATTTTGCAGTATGATGGATTTGTAGTAGAATTTAAATTGGTTGCTGATAATTGATAACTGAATTCCAAATTCAGAGAAAGATCAAACTCTAATTAACTGATGCTTTTCTTTTTCAAAGATGCTAGGTTTTCTTTTTGCTGATCTAATGTAGTGTGGAGAGTGAAACAGCCATTTCCTTCTTGCTTTTTCTGGTCTCTCCCAGGCATTGAAAATACTGCATTTGTGGTGCTATGTGCAGATATTTGAAGTCTGATATATGGTCACATGAACTCTGTAGGGCTTGTTCTTAAACAAAACCCCAAGCCTTTTAAGCTTAGTTTTAAAACTGGTAGTTTTTTTATTTCATTTCTGCTGAATTTTTTATGGATATCTTGCATTTCTTTGTCTTGCTCTCATTCACATGGAAAAATGTAATCTACTAAGTGGTGAATGTTAGTTCTGTTGCATTGTAGAGATTTTTGTTTCTATTTAATGTTCAAGCTTTGTATCTCTATTAGCAGCTTCATATATTATATATGCAAGCATGAATATTGTGTTGGAGCAGGCAGGGCAGCATAGCTTGGTAGCAGACCACAGGCCAGAACTGCCTTGCAGGGCAATGATTTGCTTCCCTTTTCTGAAGGAGGGGTGGAAGGGCTGTTTGGCCAATGAATACTTTAAGCACTGAACTTTTTTTTTTAGGTACCACTTTGTAGCCTCATTCAGCTTGCTGGACATACTAGTGCCATGGCCAAAGGATGGAGGGGATAGGCAATTTTCTAGCAGATTCCTGCAGAATTATGGTGTGATTGTAAATATAAGAGAGGAAGCGGACCCACAGAAGCATCCCTTGAAGATACCACATTCTTCTGGGGAGAGATGAAGAGCTCTTGAATTAAAATGATAGTTTATTAATAAATGATAGAAGTAGGAAAGAGATGGTACTGCATAAGATCAAGTGTGCTGAATACAGCCTGCAGTAATGAGCCTGACTATGGAAGGGATCATCTGGCCTGGATTTAGTGGTAGTGTTATTTGCCCTGTAAAATAAGCTAGAGGTTGGTTGTGAGAGAAGTGAGCAGCGAAATAGTATCATCTGCACAGATCTGACATGAGGAATTCAGGAGTTAGAGTGCACAATGTGTCAAACAACAGAGGCTGTGATTAAAACCTCTTTCTCTCAGTCATGCTTCCAACTGGTAGTCCTCACAACCACAGATCAAATTTAGCCTTAGCAAGCAAGAATAATTTTAAATTAAAATTTCCTTGTTTGCATCATGTCTGAATTTGATCCCTACAGGATGCTGATTTAATATAAAGTGATTTTACGTGTATCTTCATTTTTAAAAAAAGAAATGTAAAATGCATGTTTAGAGCATTTAATTATACTTTAATACTAAGCCAGTACTGACAATTGTCAGACCAGTTATGTTACTATCTGTGTAAGAATTACGGAAGCTTTTGGTTTGGTAGGAATTTGTGTGATACAGACAAGCGGTATTTAGCCCTTCAAATTTCAGCTGCTTCTCCACCTTCTGTTTGAAGAATTATTGTCAGAGAATGGAAGAAGGGGAGGAAGGGAGAATCATGGGGGAGAGAAGCTGCCCCCATTTATACAACCTTATGTCCAAGAATCACAGGAGCTGGAGGCTGGTAGCGAGGAGGTTTCTTCAGACACGTGCTAATACTGCAGCCACGCATAGGAATAAAAGACTTGATGTAATTTGTCTGTTTTGGCTTTGCAGCAAAGGGAAAGATGGAGAAAGGCTTGGGACGGGATGGAGGAATACGGCACTGCCATGTTGTGCCTTGCTGCAGAGGGGGCGTATGCTGAGAAGGTGGTGTTGGCCATGCCCCGTTGCAGGCGACAGACCAACTTAGGCCCTACTCCCTGCATCTTCTCTAGTTCTGTTGTCCTGCCTGTCTGTCGTCTTCTGCTCTGTGGTCATTACTCCTACACGTTGTCGTATTTCCTTGCAGTACTTCTGCTCTCACTTCAGGTAGAGGCTGGTCGTTGTCGTTTGTCTTCTACCCTTCTACAGGTACGGACCTGTGCTCACACTCCCTTTCTGGTCCTTTCTGTTTTCCTTGCAAGTGTTGTTCTGTGGGTTTTCCCCTTCCTTTCCCACTATTTTGGGAACGGCTGAGTAAAAAAAGGAACAAATACGTAGCAAGTACTTGTTAAAATTAGTTAATCAACTTCCTTGTTAAACTATTTTTTATTTATTTATTTTTAGAGGTTCAGGTACCTCTCCAGTGTTTCAGTTTCTTCTTTTTTCTTCTATTCAGGAGCTCTTTTCTCATTTCCTCACATATTCTCCTTGTGTCCTCGTAGTGTTCATATATAAATATAGTGCCTTGATTTTGAACATATTGTTCTGGAGCATATTGTCATACTAAAATTTGTTCAGTCCTTCTAGTTGGTTCGTGAGTCTGTATACCTTTTCTGAGTGCTTTCTGCATATGTCTAGTACTTTTTGGATTATATGTGTTTTGAAAAGGGCTAATTCTCTTTTAATCTGGATTATTTCAACCTGTACTACTTGTGTGAATGTCACTTAGGTGGTTGAAATACTCATCTCCTGCCCTGTGCATCAAAGGGAAAATCCAGGCACCGTCACTTTGGCGAGCTGTGTGGTGGAGGACGGGTGCGGTACAGGAACGCACTGCGAGGTGCTGAGAGCAGTCCTCACCGCTGTGTAAGTCAGAGAGGAGACGATGCGGACTATGCGAAGGCCATGAATCACCTGTTCTCAGCTCGCACTGTCTAGTGCAATCCTCTGGTCCATTTCTTTAATACATACGGATTTTGCAAGGTGCAAGTATCTGGACACAAGCAGGTCTGGTGAGGCGCTATGTTGTGCCTGAGCTAGTGTAAAGGTTGCATTTTTCTTAGTCATTTGTCTTACGAAAACTTTTAAATGTTCACACACAGATCAGATGATTCCTTGCTGAGTTACTTAGACATTTATAAATGACATCTGCTTTTGTCTAAAACGAAGGGCAATAAGGTGCAAGAATGTCATTCATCAAAAATAGGCATACGGTACAATTATTTTTATTTTGCTAGGGCAGTGGCATGAACTTTCATATAGCTTTAAGCTAGCCTCCTTTGTCATAATTTTTTTCAGATTTCCACTTAACGTCGTTTATTAGAAAGGGATGAGATAAAAGGTTTCTTATTGCATGATATTTGTACAGTGTTGTTTAGTTCAGTTTGTGTGTCTAAATTTTTTCCATTACTTTTTTCAGATTAACATTGCTGCTACTTTCTACTTTTACAGTACACAAGCCTTTCAAGCATTCTAAAGAGTATATCATCCAGTTGGTTTTTGGCAAGCAGAAATAATGTTTTTCACTATTTCTAGTAAAAATGTCATTGAAGACCTTTTGTTTTTTTAGAAAAAAAAGAAAAGGGATGCCTCATCTGAACAGATTTTGAAGAATCTGCTCTGAAGGGATCACAGTGGCTTTCTTTTTTCTTTTTTTTTTTTTCTTTTGAAGGAAAACATCTTGTTCCTGTGAAGATACCCAATTTATCATGCATATTGCAGAATTGTTAGTATATGTGAAATAACCTTTTAATCAGGCTCCTAGTTACGAGCAGAATAGTATTCAGTGCTGTTTGGAGTCTTTTGGGTGCCAGGCTGGAGCTTAAGATGATGTGTGGTTAAGGCTCCTTGACAGCCGGAATGAGCATGAGGAGTACTTGTGGCAGGTCTGGACTTTAGGTGGTTCTTCGTAGGAAGGTGAACCGAGCTTGCTTTCTCTTCCGTGTTTGTTTCAGTTTTATCTTCTATTCTGGGAAAGAAATCTCTGGGATCATTGCTAGAATCCATAAAAATGTGGATGAACTTGCAAGAAATTCAAATGTTGTCACCCTTGGTTTTTTTGTAATGTTAATGTATTAAACGTTGATTGGGGAAAAAGCCATGTAAAAGCTAAATAAAAATACTCTTCAAGTTATGAAAATTGAGGCAGGTGTGAGTGAGATGGCTTCTAATGCTTTAGGTAACCATTCTTGTCAAAATGTGTTTAATGAACCTCCAATTGCTACGTACTTTGCCTTCTTTCAGACCCCTTCTCCATGCAGTGTGTAGGAGCAGGAGTGGTGTTTGTTGACAGAGTACTGTCTCAGTATTTTTATAGCTGTGATATGCTCTTACATGGAGTTTCTTACCAGCTGCTGCTTGCCCGCCACCCATGCTCGCCAGCCTCCAATGCACGTTCTTGTTCCAGCTCCTGCCTGCTTCTCCTTTCCCTGTATTTCTCAGCTCCAGGCAGGAGCTTTTTTCCTCTGTGTGGCTGCTGTGACCCCGTGGAAGGTGGGGAGGACGGTAGGAGGGTGTCTCAGCCAGATAGGAAAGGCCTGTTCAGCCACTGTGTGTTTGACTTGCTCTGTGGGAATGCCTTATGTCAAAAGAAGTCGGAGTGTAGGAGTTGAGGGGGTGAAACAGGCTCAGGGTTTATGAAATGCTCGGCTCTTTGTTGCCAGAGGAATTCCTCGGAGTTTTCTTATTAGAGGTTTCAAAGTGGCCAGGAGTGAATACGTGGTGAAATAATTCACTGTGGCACCAGACATCATCTTAATAGATTTCAAGTCCTTAATCTAAAACAAAACCACCATAGTTGTTACAAAATCAGTGTTAAGATTACCTCTGGCATGAGCAAAGCAACATGCTTTTACCAGCTGTCAGTCTTACAAACAGCTGAACCAAATAAATTATCTTACCTTTTCCCTCTATTCTCATGTCCCCTCAAGGGCCCTCTCCCCAACCCCAAAACAACCCCAAAAAACCCCAAGGCTTGGCAGGCAGCTGCTGGTAAATGTCACCATTGAGAAGTGAGGTCTAAAAACATTCAACATGATTGAAGAAGCCTTTGCCGTAGAGCATTGGCTGTATACAGCTGTATACCTGTATCACCTGTAGAATGCATCTGTCTGCTTAAATAATATTTCACTGCTTTACGTCATTCTGTTTAATTCTGTTTTGCTCTTGGGGGAAAACAGTTCAAAGCTTTGAAAAAGGCTTGGGAGCAGTTTTATTCTTCATCACCTTATCAGGGTGTATAATGAGCCTACCTTTCTATGGTGCCGTTAATTTACGAAGTTTCCCAAGGTATTTCTAAGTTGCTTTGGCTTCTCCAGCTGTGGTTGAGCATCGTTTCAAGCAGCAGTGCAGGACGGTGGTCTGTCTGGTGGAACACAGAGGCTGTTTAACCGTGTGCAGCAACGCGGCACAAGAGGGTAAGGACAGGGAGGGAATAACGCAAAATCCAGTTGAAACTGCAAGGAGAATCTGGGTAGTCAGAATGCAATTGACCTTAGAAATGCAGCAGTTAGTAATGAGAATGTAGCTGGAGTGGACACATATACTGCAGAAAAAATACCACGTCTCTTTGGCAGTTTGTAGTTCTTGCATCTGAATAAGAAGAGGGCAGAATTGGTCCATCGCATCATGTCTAGGCAAATGTTTGCCCGAAAAAAGAGATGAGAGTATTGTAACTTACATCCAGTTATCTGAAATGTAGAGGTTTCTTTATACTCTCGTTCTATCTATATACTAACTTGGCCTGAATCAGTTTGCTTTCCTCAGGTAAAATGCATTTATCTGAAAGAGTCAGGTTACAAAACCAAACAAAAAAACTCACTGGAAAAACATTGGTTAAGCAGTAATGGGGGAAGATGTGTAGATGTTTTTAATTTTTTTTTTTTTTTCATTCAAAATGTTCTGAACTTGTTTCTGTTTTCTGTAATATTTAAATATATAATGTAAACTTTTGGAAAAATATGCCATCCTGAAGAAGACAACTTGAGCTGATCATTGTGAAGTTTTCAAATAAATTTTCTTTCTATTTAATCTAATTGTAACAAAGTGGAAATGTACACTTAAATTGGAGCAAATTTGATTCCAGTTATGGTTGTTATCTTTTCTGTGTGAAGAATGCTGATCTGTTCAAGGAGATATTTATTTTCTGAGAACAGGTTAGATGTAAAATATGTTAATGACTTCTAAAAAGCGAGGAGATTTATAATTGGAAACTTGTGGGTAAATATGTGTGGTGGTTTGTGTTTTTGGGGTTTTTTTTTTTTGACTTTACCAGACACTTGTGTATCTTCCAAACTCTCACGTATGTTAGTTGGAAAGTAAGTGTTATTGCATATGTCCTTTTCTATACATTAGTTATATTTAAACTAGGTGTTCAATAAAACAAATATATCCAAGCTTTTCTCATCTTAGCTGGAGATCAAGAACTGCAAATAATCTTAGCTACAAAAAAAAAATTGAACAGGGGCCAGGTATTGTGCAGTGTCGAGCTGCCATATGTAGTTATTGTGGCTTTGTCTGCTAGAACATAGAAGGCAAAGAGCCATCGCTCCTTTTCATGTTCAGAATCGTGTTAGAAGCGCATTTGAAGTTGATTTTTAGATAGGCTTTTTTCCTAGCATAGTAACCCTCTGCAAAGGGATCTTGTGACTTACACAGTCACTAATTATGGTCAGAAAATTCAAGAGACTGAGAGTCATCCAGCACTGAACTTTGTGAAATGGTCATAATTATTACGTAAAAGCATGTTGAAGAAGATGAGCAAACTTACTGCACCAAATTCAGAGACAAAGAGAAATGCGACAATAAACAACTGTTGCTGTTTTGATGGATAATTCTGTGTTGCTGGTGGGAGCCCAGGTAGGATGCTACCCTAGATAATAACAGAGCAGTATTTTATTTAGCTGAGATGGGATTTTGCATGTGGTTTGTCCCAATTTCTGCAGGATCAGTGTAACTTAAGTTGTTGATAATACAGATAATTAGTAGATAATAGGTTACTCTATTGTTGCTTTGTGTGTTTACTTTCTCTTCTCCCCATCTCTCTTGTCTCCCGTTTCGTTGGGTTTGTTTTGATATGTTGTTTTTATTGCTCAGAGGAAATGATGAATAAAAGACAAATATTTGCTGCTGGTTTAAAGTTTGCATCATCACCTTTGGTGAGACCAGTGCCATTTTCTACCAAATCTGTAACAGAGCTGTGTGTGGCAGGCTGCTTCCTTTGTTTATAGGAATTGTTGAGGGATCTGAATGGTAGTGCCTGGGTGCTGCATGGTGGTGATAATGAAGTTTTTTTTATAGTGGAAAGTAAGTTTTTGCTGCAGCAGGGTGGTCTTTGCTCAAAGGAGAGCACTGGGCAGATTGGGAGTGCTTGCTCTTGTGGAAGGTTGTATGCCACTATATAGATGCAGAATTTGTATAGTCACAAAAATGAGGTAACTGGATTTTCCTAGACTAATATGCCCATTTAGAATACCCTTTTTTTAGGCATATCTAGCTATTAGGACCTGTACTAAGACCGGTAAATTTGTTTCATCTAGCAAGTTACAATTTTTCAAATTTCATATAGTACGCAGGATTACACAGACTGCTGATACGAGTTACCATGGAAACAGAGACATGCAGCCCAAAAGGTACATGCTGGGGGACCACACATGCAGAAAGTACCTTTTTACATATTAAAATAAGCTGCCGCATGGAGTTAGCAGAATTCTTTGTACTTGCTCTTACAGTCTATTTCTATAAAAACATGAAACGGTATTTTACAACTTAGCCAAAAACTAGTGAGTTTTTTTCCTGTAAAGGAGAAAAAGAGAAAATGCTTCATAAAAATAATGTTGGAGCGCATAAATGAAT